GAGATACTATATTATATACATAGTTATGCAAATATGGCAATTATGCTAAGAATTTAAATGGCGTGTAATTGTGAGGGTAAAGTAATTATGGTAGGACCAAATGGTATTGCTAAATCCCCAAAACCTCCTAAAATACACTGTAGAAAACCAAACAATTCAATTGTGATTGACTCACTAAATGGAAAAAAATAAAAAGTGTTATTCATGGCTATTTTTTATCTTTGAATATTTTATCATTGAATATGTAATTTATGCAAAAAGTAAAATGTAAATGACAATTTATTTGATGTTAGATTCCTTTTAAAAACTAAATTATTTCCGTTTTAAAAAATGCATATAATGATTTTTTTAAAAAAAATCAGTTTTAATACAGAATTTTATTATTGGGGCCATTTTTACCTACCTATCATTTGGGGCCATTTTTACCGGGGCCATTTTTACTGGAGCCATTTTTTTCCGGGGCCATTTTTCCGGGGCCATTCTTACCGTACACCCGATTAACTGGTCACATTGATTGGTACACTTGACTTTTTATAGGTAGTTACTGCAATACAGAATATTATTAGAACTAGAAATTGCAAATTGCAAGTGAAGTGCTGCGAAGTACAACTGCATATAAATGTTCTTCGAACAAAATTATTTATGCGAGTCAAGTGAAAATAATGAATAATAAAAATATAACAAATAATATGAAACACGACCGACTAGTTTACTAAGATGCGCGCTCCACTGGTCGTGATATTAAACGCGTTTTCTCATTCCATACAGAGGTCTCATTAAAAGAGACCAATGTTCAAGTTTATCAACAGTACTGACATATCAGATATAATATCAACAGCATGAATATTTGTATAACTATTATAATGTATCGTAAAACGAAACGACGCACTTAAAAGGGGCCGTGTCTGTATCATTTGTATATTTAAGGTAAAAGCTATAAAATCAACACATGAAAAATCACCACAACATAATTCAGTTGTTCATAAAGTCTAAATCTAAAGATAAAACGAATACTTCAGATATAGAACATAATAACGCTGTAGTGCTCTACGTTGATATAAATAATAATTAATATTAGGAAAAATATCAGCTCAACCTCTTCTATTTAGATAAATAGCTATCTACGAACTGATCGCGGGACGAAATTGCTATACATGTGTATTACCACAAAAGTTGTAACTAAAATATTGAACTGTTACGTTGTTCATGGCTTTTCTTGCACAAAACGTCGTGGATTTTTAATTATTATTAATATTTTTTTTTTTAGTTTAGGGAGGTGGTGGGTGTACAGAGTCGCAGCAGCACGCACTACAGACAGATTAACGTACGCATGTTAACTCACACGCATACTGTATAATTTCAGTATGATGTAAAACAGGCATGTACAGTTTGTTTTATAAATACGAGCCTTCAAAACAATACGACTCGGCGTAACAATTGGTTCGTGAGAGTCCCTTTAATTAGGCCTATGTTTAAAACTTGTTTACATACAAATGGTATGATAAACAACATGGTTTTATAAGCCGTAATACCCGTATAACTAGTTCTAACTAGTTCCTTCACATTATTGTTTTTTGGAAAGTTATTTTTATATTTAATTGGCATCAATGTCAACAAGATACACTTGGCTGGTCGCACCCTTTTAGTCAGAACAACTGCAATACAGAATATTATTAGAACTAGAAATTTCAAATTGCAAGTGAAGTGCTGCGAAGTACAACTGCATATAAATGTTCTTCGAACAAAATTATTTATGCGAGTCAAGTGAAAATA